CCTCCCTCCCTCCCTCCCTCCCTCCCTCCCTCTCTCCCTTCTTCCTTCCTTCCGGTTATTGGTTATGGTTCTTGAACTCAGGGCCTGGGTGCCATCCCTGAGCTCTTTATGCTCAAAGCTAGTGCTCTACCATTTTGAGCCACAGCTCCACTTCCAGCTTTTGAGTGGTTAATTGGAGATAGGAGTCTTCGTGCTGGCTTTGAACTGCGCTCTCGGATCTCAGCCTCCTGAGGAGCTGGGGTTTTGGTGTGAGCCTCCAGCACCGACTTTGCACCTCACTTTCACTTGGACAGAACCTCGTCTGAGGAGGTGCGTCTCACGGGAAGAACCTGGGTCTCCTGCTGCCCCCTGCTTGCCCGCAGGCATCAGGAGCTGTCATGAGGAGATGTCATTCCTGAGGGTGAGGGTCCTGTGTTGAGATTTCCAGGGAGAAAGACCATGTGTGGCCAGGGGGACGGAAGCTGGAAGGCACCAGTTCACCCCATGGCACCAAGGCCCTGGTGCCGACTGGGCTGTGGTACTGACGGGCAGCAGGAGCCGGCTGGAGCTGTGGTACTGACTGGAACTGTGGTACTGACTGGAGCTGTGGTACTGACTGAGCTGCGGTACTGACTGAGCTGTGGTAATGACTGGAGCTGTGGGACTGGCTTGAGTTGTGGTACTGACTGAGCTGTGGTACTGACTGGAGCTGTGTTACTGACTGAGCTCTGGTACTGACTGAGCTGTGGTACTGACTGAGCTCTGGTACTGACTGGAGCTGTGTTACTGACTGAGCTCTGGTACTGACTGAGCTGTGGTACTGACTGGAGCTGTGGTACTGACTGAGCTGTGGTACTGACTGAGCTGTGGTACTGACTGGAACTGTGGTACTGACGGGCAGCTGTGGTACTGACTGAGCTGTGGTACTGACTGAGCTGTGGTACTGACGGGCAGCTGTGGTACAGACTGAGCTGTGATGCTCAATGAGCTGTGGTACTGACTGAGCTGTGGTGCTCACTGAGCTGTGGTACTGACTGGAGCTGTGGTGCTCACTGAGCTGTGGTACTGACTGAGCTGTGGTACTGATGGG